GAGTCACTTTTCGCTAAAATTGATGGTTTTCCCTGCAAAGTGAAAAAACTGTTTTCCTGACTTATTTGTTTAAATAGAAAAGTTAGCTAATAAAAGTTTTTGACTCACGAGATGAGAGATGTCTTGTATTATGTTCCTTTAGACAATTTTACAATAGTCTCGCGGATAGGACTTTTTTCGAGTAAAAATTTAATTTGCTTGGTCTATTGTAGATCAATGTTTGTAAACAGTTGTTAACCAGTTTTTTATATATGTATGGAGTAGGTATGTAGATCTAAACTAGGTTTTAGTAAACAAACCTGTGAGTAGATTTCCTGTGAAGGCACCCAAGTTGCCTCCACTAAACGCTATTCCTGCCAAAAATGTCCTTTCGCTAACGGGGGCCCATTTTTGCAAAAACGAGGAGGTCGTGGGATACATGGGCCCCTAAAAAAATGTAGGAATATACAGGGTGTCCCACATAAGGCGAATTCTCTCCTAGTCTGATAATATCAATAGTACAAAAAGGCATCCAAAATAAAAGTTATACCAATCAATCAATCCTGAACCAAACATTTAAAAATTATTTTCTATTATTATTTATATATAGGGTGTCGCATTTCAATTTTCAAATGGAACGCCCTGTATATTACTGCATTTTTTAATTTTCTTAAAAAGAGCCGATCAACGATGCATAATTTGTCAAGTTCCAGCTTAGGCGCTTTCTTTCATGACATGTGCGTGAAAGTAGAAAAAACGTGTTATTATTATAATTTAATTGTTCCAGCGTATTTTTAAAAACGGAATTCTGTGAGATTATTAGTGACCAATTTGTTAATAATCGGGGTAGTTGTAAACGAGCGAATTTAACAAATCAAGAACGTTGTGTGGTAAAAAAGTCGGTGAGTGATAGCCACGGAAATATGTAGTTCTTTAACAAGTGTGTGTCAGGAGTGTGTGTCAGCACATGTGTATAAAAATTGAAATTGACAATGCTGCTAAATATACAATCCGCGTGAAGATTTTATTTTAAAAATGAACTTCCAACATTAAAGAAAATGTAAACTGTAATCGCGGAAGATGAAGATTTACTTAGAATGTTCCGAAAAATTTTACTTCATATGAAAAGAGCTTCAGTTACTTAAAACGAAATAAGAAATATATGCTAATAATGAATACTTCGGTATGATGAAAATAGTATCTAAAAAAAATAGAAGTGTTGCAATAAAGACGACAAATTTTTCTTACAGTTAAACTGAGCGCAGAACAAATAGTATATACAGTTACATTTGCCGCAACTTTCATTTCGAACACTTTTTTTTGTATTATTGATATTGGTATTATTCAAGGACATTTAAATAATAGGGACTTATTTATTTACATTTCTGGATGATGCCTCGTCTATTCACAGTCTAACTGTATCATTGTTGTCAGTTGTATAATTGTACTGGAAATGTACTTAATATTTTTATCGCAATTTTCTTCACAATTGTGAAAATTATTATTATAGGATAGTATTATTAAGTTATGCATACAATATTGTTAAATTCTGTACATATTAAACTATTTTTCATTTTTCATATTTGCCATGTTTGAAGACTTGGCAACTACGCAATAATTTGTAGCGTGTTCCTCGTTCGTTCTGCCGTGGTTGGCAGAATATGGCGTCTCTTGTTAGAAAATAGTTGTGATTTTAGTAAGTGAAACGTGATTAGTGTTTATACATGTATTTTGGATAAACTTTTAAGGTGTGAATATGGTTAGACAGTGCAGAATTTGTAAGAAATTGGATTATAAACATCCACATCAGCTATCCTTCCACAGGTAAGCGTGCTTGAAGGTGACTTTGGAATGTATATGCAACTGTGGCCATTGTCGTGCGTGTGGGTAACTTTTATTTGAATAACGGTAAAATTTTATAAAACTGACTTGGTATTTTTTTAAAATTTTTGCTGAAATAGTAAGAAAACAATAATATGAACCACGTTTGGCCATTAAAATCAAAGGAAAATGCTGCACCACAAATAAGTTACAGACATTATTTATATTTAATATATTTATAGGTATTTCAATGTTATCCCTTATACCCAACATTACAAATTTTAATCATTCATCATTTTCATTTTCCTCTACGACAAAAACCTTTTCAAAAATATATTTACAATTTTACTAAATGCACGAGCATAAAAACTGAATAAATACAACAGCAAAAATATGGTGGTGGTTCACTTATACATAAAAATACCGAAGATGCAATCAACTGAAAGTTGCATTCATTCAACCATTTGATGTTCTCCTTTGGGAATATATTTTTATGTCTCACTGAAAATTTGCCTCAGTATTCTAAAAGTGAAATGTGAACGTTTTTAGGATGCTTGGGGATGGTGCAACAAGAAAGAAATGGTTACAGTTATTGGGATTCCAAGAAGTTATAAAAATATTATATATATTTATTATAAAAATACTGAGTAGCTGTTGAAATATATTGACTTAGGACTATAAAATATTTTATTTTGACCCTTCCAAAACGTACGACATTGGAGATGTAATCGCGCGCATCAGTTGGATGAAAATAAAGCCCTCTGCTTTCCCCTTGCCTAGCTTCGCCCAACATATGAGACAGACTGTGACATGCCTAGTCCCCTTTATTTAAATGTCCTTGGTATTATTATTATTATTACGGAAGAATCCGTGGGACACCCTGTATGGCTAATTAGTTTTTTAATATCCTACCCACCTGTGCCAATCCCAACACGGCTCTCAGTCCTATGGCTGCTTGATGACCACCGTATTCGACGGAGATGGGAAATACGAGCGACACGGTTATAGACACCAACATACAAGTGCCCATAACATGTCTGGCGCCGATCCTGTCGGCTAACCAACCCCCCGGCAACTGACTCAAAGCGTAGCCGATGAAGAAGGCGTAGAGGATGAAGGCTCGCAACCACGTGGGCCAGTCGAACGTGCCTCCCTGAAGAAGAATGGTAAGAAAGAAGTGAGCAATGAACCTTTTTAGTAGTGACATCACATACGCCAAATAATAGGCAACCCCTATACAGGGTGTTAATGAATAGTTGTTACAAACGGATATGGTATGTAAAAAATCCAAAAATAAGTGCAGTTTACTTAATAAACATATGTCCTAAAGCGGCTCATTTTCGAGATACAGGGCGTTGAAATTTAAAAATAATAAACTATTTCTTCCTGTAGCTCCGGTATTAGTTAATATTTCTTTATCAAACTCAACAGACAGATTTACTAGCTTAAAAGATGCATAAATATGGCAGAAACCATTTATTGGCTTCTTCTAGTGGCGTGCGATAGGTGTTGTTTCACCTTTTATCCCCTCTAAATTGTGCGGCACTGTACAAATATTAGTTTTTCGTATGTTTTTGAATTTGCTAGTATTTTTTACGTAAATAATGTATACTTGTTAGACTTCCATAAAATGAGTA